CTCTCATGGCCGCAAAAACGAACACCGTTATCGGCCTCCACAACTGCGGTGGCTGCAAGGCTTCCACGGCCGACTACGGCTCCAACTACGCCATCAAGATTTCGTACATTGTCGACATGTTGCGTAGCAAGACCCTCCTTCCCAAGGACGCTGTCGCCCAGGACCCGTCGCCCTCGACCGTGAAGCCCACAACTGCGGCGCCTACCACCGCTGCCCCAACCACGACTCGTTCGACTATCGCTCCCGTCCCGTCCAAGTGCTCGTCCATCAAAGACGATGTGGACTACGCCGGCTTTGACCTTGCCAATACGAATCGTGCGAATGCGGGAGATTGCTGCGCTGATTGCGACGGCACCCCTGGATGCAAATTGTTTGTGTGGTCGTCATACAACGGCGGGACCTGCTGGTTAAAGTCGGAAGTGGGCGTCGAGGTCACAAGCGTAGGCGTCAAGTCGGCGGTGTTGATAAACCCCACAACGACAACCGCTGCCCCGTCGACGACGCCCCCGTTGCCGGATCCCGACCTTTGCACGCCTGCTGAAGCCAACTACGACTTTCCAGGCAATGACATCAGATCGGTGTCGTCTCGGCAATTCAAGGACTGCTGCGCCGAATGCTCGGGCACCCCCGGATGCAACTTTTACGTCTGGACAGACTACAACAGCGGTACGTGCTGGCTGAAGTCGAAGCAGGGCGGGAAGGTGGTATCGTTCGGGTCTCGCGCGGCGTTCGCCGCTGCCGGTAGTACACCGACGTGCCTCCCAGTGGAAGCGAACACGGATTTTAGCGGCGAAGACATTGCCGACGTCGCGGGGGCTCCTGACTCGTGCTGCGGCGCGTGCAAAGCCAACGACAAGTGCAATGCGTACAGCTGGTTCAACGGCGTGTGCTACCTCAAGGGCATGCGCCGCGGACATTTCCACAAGGCGAACGTGCACTCGGCGCGAGTGTACAAGTGCCAGCCGCTGGAAGTCAACATGGATTTCGTCGGCAACGACATCAGCAACGTGTCGGCCGAGGCGGCCGAGGACTGCTGCGCCGTGTGCCGCAACACGGCCGGCTGCAAGGCGTTCTCGTATGCGTATGGCGTGTGCTACTTGAAGAGCAGCAAGGGCGCGACCAAGTCGGATGGTAGTGTCACGTCGGCCGCAGTCTAATGTGGCGACGGATGAATCTCACTAAACATGGTTTGGTCTCGGTATAGCTTTGCAACTTTTGGTTTTCTTGTAACCCGTTCGTTTCATCGCTTGGCGGCGAACAACACTCGAGGGTCAGTCCCTCCGTTCGTGTATTTACGTCAACGCCAAGTTCCAGCACACCAAATGGGGTCCTTGGCCAAGTCGTCGTGGCAGCTTCTGGCCCTTGCAGCACATGACAACGGTCAAATCATGTCATTCGTCGGCGTAGCCAAGACGGAGACAAGTTGCTGACGAGTCCATGAATGCGGAATCGTTGTGCGGTGCTCGTCGACGCTTCAGAGTGGCTTTTCACCACGAGTGTGGCAGTGGCTGAGGCTCCCGACACTTGTTACACAGTGCGCCACACATAGACAAGTGCTACATGGTGAGCTGCTTCTCAGGAAAACGAATCAACGATTCCAATATACGATGTGCATTCGAGACGAGTGACCAAGTGGTCTGCTGTGGAATATGCGAGTAGACGGTTCGATATTGCCAATGTCGTTGCCGAGGCCGTGTATGAGAACTGATCCTTGTGCACAGCGAGTTGCAAGGCGTGCCTTCATGCGCATTTCGCGTGTGGGCTGGCACACGCGAGCCCACATTGAACACCGTCGTAGCCTCGGCCCCACGCAATGACACAAAGTAGTATACGCATTCGGTTCATCGTGTTTGGAGCGTCCATGTGCATTGCAAGCCGTCGGTCCCCCAATCCCCCTGCATGCCGTCTTTACAGGGTCACTGGATCGAGATCCACCGACGAGGTGGTCCGGAGTTTGTCGCTCTCGGCTGCTCCAATTTGATGGATGCCCGGCCATCGAACCATGTCTGGTGTATTGCCGACGATGGCAACATCGGCTGGGCAGGAGAAAAAGTGCTGCTTACGACTGATTCCTACTTTACTACCGTGAAGCCACGTCGTCGTTATGTGCGGCATATACACCTGACGTGATCTCGCAATCCGTTGGGACGAGGGTGAGCTTGGTAGGTCATTCCATTCATGGCCAGGCAGGAAGCCACCCTCTTCATCGTACGTGGGAACGCAGGACGAAAGTCGTAAGGAAGCATGTTTGCAAGCGAGGTCGGTGTCCGCACCGCCGATTACTTTGCCTGTTCATGTCGAAATCATGGGCACGTTCCAGCTGTCACCCAAAGGGGGAATTCGTTTGACAAGGAGTTTACGTCAGCTAGCTGCTACATGGAATGTCATATTGGTGCCGTGCTAGTCCAATAGAACCACTCCAAGATCCACCAAGCGTAAGCGGCTCGTCGCCCACACCGTACTACCTTTCTCTTCCACGCTAATAGAGCGCTGGAGAAACTCTGGCTGACACCGACCGACGCAATGCTCTGATCTCGATCATGTCTGTGTTGCATACATGGAAGGTCCTCCTAGTTTAAAAAAATTGCTCTGGGATCTCCCACGAATAATGTGAATGATGACAATGCCTCGGGTGAATCGAAATCACGCGTGGCTGGTGACGGCATGAGACGGCAGCATCGCATCATTCCGGCATTTGCGTAGATGAAGCGAGATTCACCCATGATATCCGCCGAGGGGTTCCTGGCCGAAGGTACGGAAACGTTCCACACGACTGTGTCCCGGTCGATGGAGAAAGCGTTGGGCCATGACCTGCCCCAAGTCGAGATTCGATTCCATGACTTGTCCATCACTGCCGAACTCGTCCTGGCATCCAAAGAAGGCAAACACGAGCTGCCGACGCTGTGGAACCACGCCATGAAGTCATTCCTCGGCCTCTGCAGGGCCAAACACACCAGGACCAAGACCATTGTTCACCCAGTCACGGGCGTCCTGAAGCCAAGCACGATGACGCTTGTGCTTGGTCAACCCGGCTCTGGCAAGTCGTCCTTCATGCAAGCATTGGCGGGCATTTTCCCCGTCTCCAAGTCCTCCAAGGTGGACGGCGTCATCACGTACAACAGCCGAACGAAAGCGGAGTTGGTCGATCGCCTGCCGCAGTTTGTCTCGTACACGGGTCAGCGCGATCACCACTACCACACTCTGAATGTACAAGAAACTCTTGAATTTGCACATCAATGCAGCGGCGGCGCGGTCGTGCCGCGCCATGTCCTCGATGCCCTCGTCAACGGGGCAGACGATGACAATGCAGTGGCTGTTCGGATCATTCAAGCGCTGTACGCGGTCTACCCTGACGTGGTTGTGCAGCAACTTGGGCTGACAAATTGCAAGGATACGGTCCTCGGGAGCGCGATGCTACGTGGTGTATCTGGCGGCGAGCGCAAGCGCGTGACCATTGGAGAAATGGGCTTTGGCATGAAACCAGTCTCTCTGCTGGACGAAATCAGCACTGGTCTCGACTCGGCGGCCACATACGACATCATCAAGGCTCAGCAAAGCGCGTCCCGCCATTTGAAGAAGACGATTGTTGTCGCGCTGCTGCAACCCGCCCCCGAAGTATTTGACCTTTTCGACGACTTGATTTTGTTCAACCAAGGTTTTGTCATGTACCATGGCCCGCGTGCCGCCGCGTTGGCGTACTTTGAAGCGATGGGGTTCAAGTGTCCGCCGACAAGGGACGTGGCCGACTTTTTGCTCGACTTGGGGACGCCACAGCAGGACCAGTACGTTTTCAGGACGGGAGTTCCCCGCCTCCCAAGCGAGTACGCCGATCTGTTCCAGAAATCCTACACGTACCACGCGATGTTCGAGTACGTCGTCGGCCCGACGAGCCCGCAGCTCTTGGCCTTTGCGACCAACGATATGCATGTGACACCTATGTTTTACAACTCATTTACGTCAAGCGTGGTGCTGCTCATTAAACGGCAGTTGACCGTGCTGCTTCGGAACCGCGCGTTCATCATCTCTCGGGTCATCATGACGTTGATGATGGGACTGCTGTACGGGAGCAGCTTTTACCAAATGGATCCCCAGCTGCCACAGGTCGTGATTGGCGTGACGTTTCAATCTCTCTTGTTCTTCATCGTGTCCCAAGTCCCAAACCTTCCCGCCATCCTCGACAGCCGCCACATTTTCTACAAGCAGCGCGACGCCAACTTTTACAGCACGCTGAGCTTTGTCGTGGCGCACTCGGTGTCGCAAATCCCATTTGCTGTGGTCGAGACGCTTGTGTTTGGCAACATCATGTACTGGATCGCTGGCTTTGTCAACGATGCGGCCGCATACTTGACATACATGGCGATGCTGTTCCTCGTCAGCTTTGCGTTCTCGGCCTGGTTTTTCTTCCTCGGGAGCGTGTCACCGGACCTGCATGTCGCGAAGCCGGCAGCCATGATGTCCGTCGTCGTGTTCATCTTGTTTGGAGGGTTCATCATTGTAGAGAAGGACATTCCAACGTACTTTATGTGGCTGTTCTGGATCAACCCGATCGCATGGGTCATGCGGGCGCTTGCCATCAACCAGTACACGGCCCCGGAGTTTCAAGTCCACCAATACAAAGGAGTCAACTACAAGCGTGCGTTCAACTTTATCATGGGTGACGCTCAGTTGCGCCTGTTTGACTTCCCCACGGATACCAAGTGGATTGGATACGGCATGGCGTTTATGGCCCTGTGCTATTTCCTCTTTACGACCTTGTCTTTTGTCGTTCTCGAGTTCAAGCGCCACCACGGCCATGGCCACAGCAACGCCCCCGTCACCCTCACGCCTGATGCCTCTACAACGCTGAATGACGATGACGACGCTGGCATGTACGTGGAGATGCCCGCGACGCCGCAGGATGTGGCGATTGCGTCAAAAACGACGCTCGCTCCAACCATCCCAACCATCGACGTTGTTCCGGTCACGGTGGCGTTTCAGAACTTGGGGTACGTTGTCCCCAACCCCAAGAAAGGTGAGCCGGACCTGCACTTACTCACCAGCGTGACTGGGTACGCGCTTCCGGGGACGATCACGGCGCTCATGGGGTCGACTGGTGCTGGAAAGACAACCCTCATGGACGTGATTGCCGGCCGAAAGACGGAAGGCACCATCACGGGCAGCATCTTGCTCAACGGGTATCCCGCAACGGACTTGGCGATGCAGCGGTGCACGGGGTACTGCGAACAAATGGACATTCATAGCGAGAGCGCGACGTTTCGAGAAGCGTTGACGTTTAGTGCCATGCTCCGTCAGCCGAGCGAAGTCTCGACCGCGACCAAACTGGCGTTTGTCGAAGAGTGTTTGGCCATGTTGGACCTGACCACTCTCGGAAACACGATCATCCGTGGCAGTTCCGTCGAGCAAATGAAGCGGTTGACAATTGGTGTCGAGTTGGCGGCGGCCCCGAGCGTCCTCTTTCTGGACGAACCCACGAGTGGGCTCGACGCTCGCAGCGCCAAGATCGTCATGTCAGGCATTCGACGCATTGCCTCCACGGGCCGGACGGTTGTCTGTACGATCCATCAGCCGTCGACCGAAGTGTTTGAAATGTTCGACCGCCTGCTCCTGCTCCAGCGCGGTGGTCAGACCGTATTTTTTGGCGACTTGGGGCCGCAATCGATCCATCTGATCGAGTACTTTTCCCGCGTTGACGCAGCTTTGCCTCCCCTCGTCGAAGGGGCCAACCCGGCGACATGGATGCTCGAATGTATTGGAGCGGGGGTGGAAGTGAAGTCCCCGGCCAGTGCCGAAATCGACTTTGTCCGAGTGTTTCAGCAAAGCCCAGAGTTCCAAGCGCTCAATTCTGCCGTCGCCAAAGTCGCCTCTCCGTCCAGCGCGTATGGTGAGCTGACGTTCAAAAAGAAGCGGGCAGCGCCGTGGGGAATACAATGTCGATTGCTCGTCCAGCGCTTCATGCGCATGTATTGGCGTACCGCGTCGTACAACTGGACCCGCCTCGTGATTGCAGTCTTCTTGGCTGTGTTGTTTGGCGCGGTCTTTTGCAAAATCAACTACAACACGTTTGCGGGGGCGAACGGCGGCGCGGGTGTGATTTTCATCACGGCGCTGTTCCTGAGTCTGCTTTCATTCAATAGCGTCCTGCCCCTGGCAACGGAAGAGCGCGAGTCGTTCTACCGCGAACGCGCGTCCCAGACCTACAGCGCTGTGTGGTACTTTGTTGGCGCCACCGTGGCCGAGCTCCCGTACGTGTTTTTCAACTCGTTCTTGTTCACTGCCATCTTTTACCCCTTCGTGGGGTTCCAAGGCACGTTTCTGGACGCTCTCTTCTACGGCCTCAATTTGAGCTTGATGGTGCTCATGAACGTGTACATGGGCCAACTCACCGCGTACGCCGCGCCGCGTGTGGAAGTCGCCACGCTCCTTGGCATCCTCATCAACTCGATCTTCTTCCTCTTCATGGGTTTTAACCCCCCCAGCAGCTCCATTCCAGCGGGGTACCGATGGCTATACCATGTTACACCGCAAAAGTACAGCTTGGCGGCCATGACCGCATCGGTCTTTGCCAAATGCGACGCTGGACAAGGCATGGGTTGCGGTGTCATCCACGACTTTCCACCGTTCATCCTGGCCCAAATTGGAAAGCCACAAGCTACTATGAAAGACTTCATCGAGTTGGTGTACGAAATGAAGTACGACGACGCCGCCACCAACACCCTTGCTGTCCTTGGATTCATTGTTGTCTTCCGTCTCTTGGCACTCCTTGCTCTGATAAAGATCAACCACCAGAAAAAGTAATAGCAAAATCT